AACCACCGGAGAATCGGTTCGCTGCCGGAGGGAGGAGGAGGAGTGGTGCGGTGTTTGCTCCTCGGCCCAGCGGAGGCTCCCCTGCTGCTCCTCCTTCTTCTTCTGTTCCGTGTTTTGGTTCTTCCTCCTGCGGACGTTCAGGCTCGTGCCTTCACCTGGGCCGGGTCCGCGCGCTGCTCCGCCTCGCCGCTCGCGCCGTGCAGCTGCAGCTCGCGCATGGAGTGACGTCACCACCGAAGGAGTTTGGGCGGCACAGTGGTGCAGATTGGGTTAGGGTACCCAAACACACACACACACAGAGCTGCACATGCGCAGTAGATTTATTACAACTTAAGCGTTCGTCTCCGGTTCTGCTGATCCAGACCAGACTGGGTCAGGGGTTCTGCTGGACAGGATGGGGGGTCTCATGATGGGGTCACAGCAGAACAGCATTCTGGGTCGGTACTGAGCAGCTCGTAGCCGGGTCTAATTCGGACGCACGCCGGTGTGTTGCTGTTTCACCTGCAGATGAACTTGGGTCAGAAATAAACGGTGTTGATCGTGAACGTTCAGAACCAGTGGTGTGACGGGTCTGGTGGTTTTCTGTTGGCCCAAGAAGAAGAACCCACCTGGAACCAGGGGGGAGGGGAACCGGCCTGATCCCAGCCCACACGGATGAGGTCAGACAGCTGAGATGTTGCCGGGACCGTCTCACTGCTGACCCCTGGTGGTAGAAAAACTTCAGTATAGATTTCAATCAACCAGGAGGTCAAAGGTCAGACTGGGGCCTAACCCAGTTTAATAGATATTCTGCTGTTGTTTATGAATGTGAGTTAATGGCTCCGTGATACTGGAAAAGGTAATAATGAGATCCCCGCTGGACTGGTGTTCTGGTCTCTGATGGTTTATCTACATGACTACATGCCAGCTGATGTCGCGCTCTCATCTTACAGGTAAACGCTGGTATGTGAGTCCTCTTCCATCTGCTGTAGGACTGATGGTCTCTCCTCAGGGTCCCATTATTTCACAGCTCCAAACAGGAAGTGAAGGTGGTTTTCAACTCCTGATGTCTCCATCAAACCCAGTAGAAACGTCGACATTTCCCCGTGGGACCATCAGAGCTTCAGCTGCTTTTCGAATTTTCACCTGACGCTTTGGCGGTTACCATGGTGACCCTGATTAGACACTGGAAGCAGCATTAACATTTCGCTGAAGTTTTTCTCCGACTCAGATGAGAAAAGTTGACACTATCCAGACCGCTTGGATTCTTTTATTACACATTCTCATACGTTCTACAGTTTAGACACTATAAAGTGAGATCTGGGCATTTCTTCAGAGTGATTCACTAGAACAGAATAAGATGTGCTCAGAGATTTGTTTGGACTTTAGTGTTCAGGATGTTCTGAGACGAGGAAGAGATGTCTGAGGAGCGGGCCAGCTGGACCGACACCACAGACAGAAATCCTTCGCCAGAATCAGACCGAGCAGCAGAATAGAAAAGGGGAGTCAGGAGGTGGTGGAGAGAGAGAGAGAAGGTGTGTTTTTGAGAGAGAGAAAGAGAGAGGAGTGTGTGTGAGAGAGAAAGAGAGGAGTGTGTGTGTGTGAGAGAGAAAGAGAGAGAGGAGTGAGTGTGTGAGAAAGAGAGGAGTGTGTATGAGAGAGAGAGAGAGGTGTGTGTGTGAGAAAGAGAGAGAGGAGTGAGTGTGAGAGAGAAAGAGAGAGGAGTGTGTGTGTGAGAAAGAGAGAAGTGTGTATGAGAGAGAGAGAGATGTGTGTGCGTGAGAAAGAGAGAGAGGAGTGTGTGTGTGAGAGAAAGAGAAGTGTGAGAGAGAGCGAAAGAGAGGAGTGTGTGTGTGAGAGAAAGAGAAGTGTGAGAGAGAGCGAAAGAGGAGCGTGTGTGAGAAAGAGAGAGAGAAAGAGGAGGTGTGTGTGAGAAAGAGAGAGAGAGCGAGAGAGAAAGAGGAGGTGTGTGTGTGTGAGAGATAGATAGATAGAGAGAGAGAGAGAGTGCGAAAAAAACACACTGACCACTGAGCAGGAGTGTGTGTGGCACTTAAAAACCTCTGAGTGATGGAGTGAGTTTGTGTTTAGTGGTTTCATCGTTATGCTACATGGTGAGTGTGTGTGTGTGTGAGTGCGTGTACGTGTGCGCGTGTGTGTGTGTGTGTGTGTGTGTGTGTGCGTGTACGTGTGCGTGTGTGTGTGTGTGTGTGTGTGTGAGTGAGTGAGTGGTCACTAATTGCACTTGAGGATGAGGACGTGTGGACTGTACATTTCTGGTCAGATGTCTTCCAGGATTATTTTTTTTGGTAATTTTAAGAAAATGTTTGAGACGTTTACACAAACACAGAAACCAGAATCAACTCGAGCGGCTCAGGAACGACCCACAACGCTCGGACAGAACCGCCAGAACCTGACGGCGAGCCGGTATATGGGAAACCCCCAGCTAGATCAGGTGGGACTGACCCGATTTGACCTGCTGCGACCGGTTCTGACCCAAAAACGTGAAGAAGCAGCTGAAGAGAAGTCAGGTTCTGAAGGTCCAGCGGAGCTCAACGAGACGTGATCACAGTGGGTCAGAACCAGGTGGTGAGAGCGTGGAAAGTCGTAGGTTAAGGCAGGTGTGGTGCCGTACCTGACGGGAGATCTTAACCTGAAAACACCCGACAGGTGAGGTCACGTGTTGCTCCGCCCCCTGTTTAGATGCTTAAATCATTCATGTTTGTGAGGTGATGAATGATAGATCATCCATCCATCATCATCATCATCATCATCATCATCATCATCATCACAGAGGACTCTTCTGGATGAGAGGCACCTCAGCGTTCCTCACCCTCTCACTCTCACAGATTTGAATCTAAAGTTGACGCTCTGGAATTAATGAACAATCACCAACCCACATGTCACCTGTGGGCAAGAACTTTGGGTGGTGACCTTCTGGTGAGAGCTTCACCTTTAGATTCAAATCTTCTGTGCAACAGACCAGTTTAGCACATGGATCAGATCCGGCTTCCAGTCTCACCACACCCACAGACACCGGAACCCTTCCACACCCAACACAAGCTCCTTCCTAGCCCGAAGTTGGGCGCTCCTCAGGCTGATTCCCGTCCCAGTGCCTGCTGAAGGTCCTGGCTAGAAGAAGCCATCAGGTCAACCACATCCACAAAAATCAGAGATGTGATCTGAGTTCTGATGGAGGTAAACCAGACGTGGGCTTTCATAGAGGGCTGAAGATCCCGTAGCCCCAGCAGGACACCAGAAGGAATCTGGCTGAGGACCAACTGTGGACAGGAAGCCCTATGGGGGAACACGTCCTACTGAGGAGCTACTACGAAGCAGAATGACCCTCGTTGGTACGGCACCACCCCTCTGAACCACACGATGTCCAGCCTCAGGAGAAGTGGTGATTTTTGTTTTTACATTCTGTGCAAAATTAGACAAAAAGTAGCCCACAAATCATCGTCAGTCTCTTTGTAGTCCAGTGTCCACTCTTCGGTCAGTCTTCTTCTATTTACAGTTAGCTTCTAAGACATTAGTACCATCAGGGCCCAGCAGGACCAAGACATTCCTCACAGGGGGGAAGCCCACCTTTGGACAGACCTCTGCTGGGTCCACTCCTGGTTCTGAGACATCACAACAACTCCTGAACGCGGTTCATCCCCCAGCTGTTGCTCTGGTGTGAACATTTCAAATGTTTAAGTTCTGATTTCTGATCAAGACTCTTGTTGTGTCTGTGACCTTACTCTCATCTAGGAGTGTATGGCGCGGTATGGGGGCCAAAATTAAGACTACTGCCCAGCAGCAGGAGGCTTTATAAATTCTGAAGCAAACTACCGACCTGATTGATAAGCTGGCGCCGGTAACTGAGAGATAGCACCTTTACCGGTGTCGGTACAAGATCGGCTCGGGGTCCTTCGACTGCCGATGACGTCAAAGTACGGCAAACCCACTCGGACAAAATACATCACACATCTACACATTCATAATGTTGAACTCCTCTTTGAGCACATCCCTTGAAGGATCATAGGTATTAGCAACACCTGTGAAATTGTATTTGCAGGAAACAAGTGTGTCCCGTTTATTGAAGCATTTTGTGTTTAGAGTTTTTGACGTCTTGTCCATGCGTAGTTCAGGTACGCTCATAGCTGCTAGCCAAAACTCTGGAGTTTAAAGTTTTCTGGCTTTACTAAAATACCTGTCTGTACTTATTTGATGGTAGTTTTACTTTCTGTTACACTCCAAATGTAATCATTTGGCACGTTTCTAATTCATAATTTGTAAGAATGTAATTGGCGATATTAGCATTAGTATTGCTATGGGTTTTTCCATGTATATTAGCATTGCGCTAACCACTCGCTGCCAAATTGCAGCCGTTGCGATTAGAAAATCTCCTTTTGTCACATCGCAATTTAATTGCACATGCAGTTAATCGTTCAGCCCTAATATACATGCAGCTCAGCGCTAAAAGTGTATTTTCGAAGAGGTAATGATGGATTTCTTTGTAAAAGTTGTCCATCTTTCCAACAGAAAGATTTGCCTGGACCAACGTAACGTGATAACAACGTAACGTGATTATGTAATTCCGTAAGGTTCATGTTCAGCCAATCAACTACTTTGACGTCATCGGTAGTCGACGGACCCCGAGCCGATCTTGCACCCGAGCAGATCTTGTACCGACACCGGCGTTACTACTAGATATGCTAGGGACTAGCAGCCCTCGGCTGGTCATTGACTGGTTCACACACTCCCTCTGCTGTCTATTAGCATAGATAGGCTAGCGTTAGCCTGGACGGGTTGGTGTTAGCATTGGAGAGGCTAGCCATTAGCGTGCCTAGGCTGGCCACTCGCTGGATTTCCCACCCCCTTGACTGACATTTAGCATGGATAGGCTGGCGTTAGCTTCGGAGAGGCTAGCCATTAGCATGTCTCGGAGAGTCAGTTACTCTATTAGATGTATTTTTTTTGTACATATTATATAGTTATAATAAAGATAACATCACAGTTTAAATAATTATTAACCTGTAATTCAATACAAAGGATTTAAAATCCAAAGATGAAAAGTACAAACTAGTTAGCTCTGGCTTTTTCTCTGACATGTGAAAGAAAACCAAACTATATAAAAAGAAAATGCCATCAACCTGTAATTAAGAGCTGAATGGAGTTAACGCAGAACCTAATCAATGCTAACAGGCTGTCGGCTTTACAATCTGCTTTAAGTTAATGTGTATAACAACGCGTTCTGTCAAAGGAACAACTGTGATTGCAGGTCTCATAGTATGTCATCCGTTTAGTAAAAGTAAAAAAAAAACAAATCTAGTAGAGTAAGTGACTCTCCGAGACATGCTAATGGCTAGCCTCTCCGATGCTAATGCCAGTCTATCCATGCTTAAGGTTCGTCGAGGGGGTAGGAAATCCAGCTAGTGGCATGCCTAGGCACGCTAATGGCTAGCCTCTCTGATGCTAACGCCAGCCTATCCATTTTATTGGTCCGTTGAGGAGGTAGGAAATTCAGCTAGTGGCCAGCCTAGGCACGCTAATGGCTAGCCTCTCCAATGCTAACACCAGCCCGTCCAGGCTAACGCTAGCCTATCCATGCTAATAGACAGCAGAGAGGGAGTGTTTGAACCAGTCAATGACCAGCCGAGGGCTGCTAGTCCCTAGCGTTTCTAGTAGTAACACCGGTAAAGGTGCTATTTCTCAGTAAGCAGCGCCAGCCTCTCAGTTACCGGCGCCAGCTTATTATTAATCAGGTCGGTAGTTTGCTTCAGAATTTATGTAGCCTCCTGCTGCTGGGCAGTAGTCTTCATTTTGGCCCTCATACCGCGCCAAAGGGATGCACCGATATCGGCACTGGTGTCAGTATCGGTGCATCCCTAGGCTCATCCGGATCTGGTGCCTCCAGGAGTCGATGAATTTGTCTCGTTACCAGGATCCCTGATCGTTTTTAGTCTGTTTTACTGGAACAGCAGCTCCGTCTCCAGGTGGACTTCTGTCCCCTCCTTCGGTTTTAAAAACAAGCTGCTGCTAATCAGCGGCCTGTTTAAAAGGCATTCAGCAGGTAGAAAACACAGGGCACACAGTGAGAAGGAGGGAAGGGGGTCGGGAATAGAAAAATAAAACTAACTAAATAAAAAAACTGTGGCAGACGACGAAACAATCACCTCACTTTGTGGCAGGAAAACTAAAAAAAGTAAAAAACAAAGTTTCAGAGGCAGCGGGGCGCCATGTGAGGAGCACAAAGAGAAGGAGGTCTAGGAAGACGTCTCTCAGTCTCAGAAGAACTTGTCATCGATGCGGAAGTGCGGCCGCGTGACGTCGTCCGGGTTGATGAAGACCGAGATGGACTTCCCGGGATTCTCCGTGACAAGCTGCTGAAGCTTCTTGGCCAGCCGGTCATCCGGCTGGTGGTCTCCGCCGGCGTCGGACTGCGGGGACGGCAGGTTGTTGGAGCTGCCTCGCCATTGCAGTTCCACCGTCAGCCTGTTGGCAGCCTTGGCGTGCTCGATGGTGGTGCGGAGGTGCTCGGTCGGGTCGGACCGCACGGAGGACAGTTTGCGGGCGTGCAGCATGGCGGTCTCGTCCGACAGGTGCTCCAGCATGTTGCACTGAGGAATGAAGTAGTTGGGACACATCTTGTTTACGAGGCAATGCTGCAAGTCGTCTATCAGGCCCAGCAGGAAGTGAGCGGAGAAGTCGTCCTGTGATAGGTAGTTGGCGGGGAGGCGGTCGCAGGCCCACAGCATGATGCTGCGGAGGTGGTACGGGCTGATGGCTTTGGGCCGGGACAGCAGCTTGATGATGATGGCCTTACAAGCCTGGTATGCCTGCATGAGGCTGGATGAGATGCATTTCTTCAGCTGCACCTCACTGCGGGCAAAAGACAGGCGCCATTCGTTATCCTTCCGGCCTTTGTAGGAACAGGCAGGGACGAGATAGAATCCGCTTATCACCTCCTCCTCCGTGATCTTTCCGTCCCAGAAATGGTTCTCCATCAACCAGCTCTGAGCCACGGCTGGCCAACCTTTAAACGACACCACAGGGACAATGTCGTAGAGCATCCGACTGCTGCCAACGCCCAGGATGACAGAGATGATGGTCCCGTTCCGCTCCACCTTCTCCACTCTTGGCATTCCTCTCTGCGGCTTCTTCTGCACCTCCAGCAGCACCAGTGAGATGGACTGGTAGAACCAGTCCGCCACTAGCGTGGGAGAAAAGAAGTAGTTGGTGGTCCCGCTGATGTGGTCGACAATGGTGCAACAGTCTTTCCATTTGTTGATGGTTCCTTCATCAAAGAGTCGGAGGCTGAGCCAGGAGTGGCCCAGCGCCGAGTGCCTCATGTCCAGGGTCACCGGCTGGTTACGATCATGGAGTTTAAGGGCTGGGACCAACAGGGTGAAGTCCATGTCATAATCTGTGCCACGAGCGTAGACGCTCAGTTCGTCTAGATCCATGTCCACCACCCCTTCCCGAACACCACCCGAAAGGAGGAGATACTCATTGGCCACTGGGAGTTTCTGGTCCAGCTTCTGAACCATTCCTAAAACAAAAAAGGAGGGAAACCCAATCAGATCAATCCAAAAGGGACCCAAAGGTCCAGCTGTCCATCAGCGATCAACGCTAAGAGCTCCTGAAGCCTCGGTTCCCACATGAGATGGAGTCATTTGGCAATGAAACCCGTTTCTGATAAAAAAAAAAAATAACTAAAGAGAGCAAATAATCTCAAATGTGTCCTGGCCCACAGCAGGTAGAACAGACGTAGACCAGATGATGAGCTGTTGCAGACCAGGCGAGGTCTGATGCTCACCTTTAGGGATGTAAGAAAATATCGATATGGCAATATATCGTGATAGTTTTTTCCTGCGTTTATTACATCGATATTCAAAAGCCGTGTATCTAATTCTCGAAAAAATTTACATGCAAACATTTGTGTATTTTCTATTCGTTTTGTGCAATTCAATCGCCACCCGCTAGTTTGCAGCAGTGTGCAACGGGTTTTGTTTCCACCATTGAAATGTAAATCCCTCCATCATGGTTCAGATACCTCATGGTAAACATGTTACGTATCAGTTTGGACTGTTTATTGAACATTCTTACAATAAATTCAGTAAAAAAAATTGCTTGTAATGTTTGACTGAATGTATCGCAATATATCGTGATGTATCGTATTGTCTCCCCTGTATCGTGATATATATCGTATCGTCTCCCCTGTATCATGATATGTATCGTATCGTCTCCCCATATCGTGATATGTATCGTATCGTCTCCCCTGTATCGTGATATGTATCGTATCGTCTCCCCGTATCGTGATATGTATCGTATCGTCTCCCCTTTATCGTGATATATATCGTATCGTCTCCCCGTATCGTGATATGTATCGTATCGTCTCCCCTGTATCGTGATATATATCGTATCGTCTCCCCTGTATCGTGATATGTATCGTATCTTCTCCCCTGTATCGTGATATGTATCGCATCGCCAGAATTGCAAAAATACACATCCCTGCTCACCTTTATCATCAAAACTTCCAGATCATTTGGGATGCTACCAGCATTGTGAATGATATTAAGGTCCAGAGGGAAAATTAATCTCTAATCTCTTCAGGAAGACTAATCCCATCAGAACAGGGATGCAGCAGGAGGACATTTAGACACGGAAGAAAACAAAAACAAACTGAGTCTGTTTCCTCGTTTTGATGTTTGTTAGAAACTGCTTTGGAAAAGTTGGTTCTGATCTGGATGTTTAAAGCCTTACAGACCCGTCACATCACGGTTTAAATCAGCTGCTCCTTACGATCAGAACCACACTGTCCCACCAGGTTAAATCACTTCCTCCAGTTCTGTTATCTTTCACTAATCCTCCCAGAGCTCACCACCAAGTTACACAGGTCACAAATTCACCAGCTGACAGCTGGAATGGCTCCTGACCACTTTGGGTCGGGAGTCAAAGAGGATCTGTTGAGTTTCTCTCAGTCCAGTCTTAAGTTTCCGACTGATCTGAATCATGTTCTGAAGAATCAATGTTGGGTCAATAAATATCCAGCTCCATCACAGGTAAACAAAAATAATCTATAAAAACTATAAAATTATTACAACCACCTGTTCGGAAGCAGTTACCATGGTAACGGATGCTTATCAGACCACCTATTCTGCACCGATGACCATGGAAACTGATGCAGATTAGGCCACCTGTTCTGAACAGGTTACCATGGTAACTGATACTGATATGGTCATCAGTTTTGAACAGGTTACTATGGGAAATGATGCTGATAGGGTCACCTGTTCTGAACAGGTTACCATGGAAACTGATGCTGATAGGGTCACCAGTCCTGAACAGGTTACCATGGAAACTGATGCTGATATGGTCATCAGTTTTGAACAGGTTACTATGGGAACTGATGCTGATAGGGTCACCTGTTCAGAACCGGTTACCATGGGAACTGATGCTGATCAGATCAACTGTTCTGAACCAATTTGGGCTCAGTGCGCTAATTTAAATAAATCACCTGTGTTACTAGGTTCTCCTGATGAACCTCCAGCCCACGTGTATGACCCAAACAGCCACTTTAAACTTTGAGATCTTTTACCTTCAAATGGTTTTGGATAAATTCTGGACCAGAGACTGGACTGGGCGTCACTCAGCACCACCACTCAGTGGTTCTGTACCTGATTAGTTCAGCTGGACTCTTTAAAAGAGTTTTGCATTTTAGTTTCCAATAAAACCTGAAACATCAAAACTCAACCAGCTGACGGACTTGGACTTTAGCCACAGACTCCAGAACCTTTCTAACGGTTCCGGTTCTTCAGAACCCAAAAAATAATAATAATAATAAAAAAATAAAAAATAAAACCGGGAGCGTCGTGAATCTCTTCTAGGTGGAGGAGGATTGCAGGTAGAATGCGACCCAGAGGATCCGGCTGCATTACTGTCGGTTTCGGGTCTGTTTACCGCATTCCGGTGTGTTTACCGGAACAGAACCGTGCGTTGATGCTCCTCACCCAGCATGGAGAAGATGAAGTCCTTGGCCGTGTGGATCTCCAGGGCGCGCTGGTCATCGTATTCCCGCTGGTCGTGTTTACTAAACTCCTGGATGAGACGGTTCAGGTCCTCCATCCGGGCCGCCGACCTGAAGTCCAGCTCGGGCCCACCGCTACCGCCGCCGCCACCGGGCGGAAGCCTCCCGGCGGCCGAGGTGGGGCTGTTCCCGAGGCTTCCCGCCGAACCGGACCGAACGGAGAGGGCAGGGGCCGCCATGATTCCTCGCTGGTGTACTCTGGGCCGAGCTGAGCAGAACCGAACCACACAGAACACAAGCAGCGGAAATAACGGCTCCACCTTCAATACCTTCAGAATAAAAGCTCACTCACGATCAAGTAACTTTGACCAAATGTTGTTTTAATTGTTTTAATACTGTGGCAAAAGAGACTACGGACTTCATTTAACGTATGCTGTTGTGCTAAAATGTTAAACCAAGCCAGCAGGAAAGTTCAAGAGATTCTGTTGATGAGCATCTTGTGTGCGCGCGCGTGTTTGTGTGCACGTGTGTGTGTGTGTGTGCTTCGGGCGGGGAAGATAATCAGACAAGATTTCACTACTAATTTAAAGTGCAACAATGTGTTTTTTTTTACATCTTTTTACTGCAGAAACCGTGACATCTGACCTAGATCAATTAAGATGCAGTGAGCCAGTGAATAATGAGTCATAGTGACTAACAGCGTTTTCTCGGAGTGATCTAGTGTTAGGGCGTATGTTTGACAAATAAATACATTTTAATTAAAGTAATACTTGATCAATGAAAATGTGATTTTATGTAATAAAGCAAACTGAATAAATTTTGATTAACTAAACAAGGATAATGCTGATAACAGAGTAAAAATGTTACCAGCACATGTTAGAAGAATCAAAGTACATTTAAAAATAACGAATCTTTTCTCACTGAAATTGCAGTTAATCTATCATTTATTTTGAAAGTGTAAAGAAGATGTAACATATCTTGTAACATTCATGCAGTTTATGTTACCTCCTGTCCACCAGGCGTCGCTGTTGTTGGTGCTATCCGCTGCTATCACCTTCATTCCGATCCGGCACCGATAATCCGAGAATATCGGACTCAACATGGCCTGGAGGAGCTGTTCCATGCTCCGACTGATCGGAGAGGACACGCTATGGAGCTCCGTGAGAGGTGGCAGGTCAGTCCTGACAGGCAGAGACAGACAAACTGCTCCCGCCGAAACTTTCCCATTTTTTCACTGTCCTGAGGTAGCCTATTAGCTTCGAAAAGGGTTAGCATCAGCTGACTGGTAGCCACTGGCTAACAGAGCGATCGACTGTTAAGACTTATTTCAGAAATAATGTTTGTGTGATTTTAACAAGTTATCCGTAAAAAGATGTCAGTTTGCAGAAACGTGTCTAAAACCTGGTGCAGATGTTCTAACTTAGGAAGTAAAGTTAGCATGTGTTTTACTTCCTGGGTCACAGCTCTGGTTGGTAATGTATTAACACTTCGTTCACTCGGCTGCATTGAGATGATCATGAATAAAAACGTTCAGTAGCACTTCTTTTAAGAGATCAGAATCTGTAGATAGACGTGAGCTGTGCTCCACAGTTTAAGGAACCGGAAACATTAACTTCATAAAGGACAGAACGTTTTAACACAAAATAATAAAAAACCAAGTCAGCGAATAACTAATACGACTACAGATGAAGTAATTCAGAAGATGCTAACTGCTGGAGATTGTTTTGGTGGTTCTGCTGTTACTCGTGGATCAGAACGAACAGGCTGGAGATGATTTTACAAAAGATTTTATCATGACATTTAAATCTGTCCCTGAATAAACTTGGATCATGGTGAAATTAAGCATGTGATCATCTCAGTGCTGCAAGCTGAGTGGTTCCGAAGATCAGAAGTTTATTTAAAAGTGCTCTAGGTTCCGACAATCTGACCTTATGGTCCAGTCTCTGTTACCATGGTGATGTAGAGTCTAATCTCTTACCTTGGTGATGTAGAGCCCAGTCTCTGTTACCACGGTGAAGTAGTGTCCAGTCTCTGTTACCACGGTGATGTAGAGTCCAGTCTCTGTTACCATGGGTGATGTATGGGCCATTCCCATCTGTACCGGGTCGGCCCGGGCCGGGTAGCCCCAGTCGGCCCCAGCCTGGCCCGGTTGATTCCACACATCCTTGCCTTAAGCCCATGTGGGCTGATTCTACCCACCAATCAGAGGCTTGCTCTAATGGAAGGTGTGAATTTGCTATCAGCAGTGGGTGTGTTGGCCCTGGTCGGCCTGAAGCAGACCCCCTCGAGAAGAGGGCTGAGAATGAGCCTTGGTTGGCCCGGAAACATACCAGGCCACCCAGATATGTAAACAACCTACGCTACCCGGCCCGGGCCGACCCGGTACAGATGGGAATGGCCCAGTAGAGTCCAGTCTCTGTTACCATGGTGATGTAGAGTCCAGTCTCTGTTACCTAGGGTTGTCACGGTAAGAAAATTTAACCTCACGGTTATTGTGACCAAAATTATCACGGTTTTCGGTATTATCGCGGTATTTTTTAAACGGTGTTGCGTACGTTCAGAAAGCATTGATAGTCCTGTTCTACACAAACTGAAATAGTTTTGAAAATGTTTAACAGTGTTTATTAAACCTAAAATAACACAAAGCCTTAGCAAAAGTGCAACTTTTCACAAGTAAAGGAACAAATATCTTCTTTTTCTGGAACATGTTACAGTAGTCAGTGCAGGTTTAAATGATACAAATCCAAACATTCAAAACATAAACAATATGTAAACAAATCAAAGAAACACCACTTGTTTTCTCATATACTTGTTTTCTTCATTATCAAAATGAAAATCTAAAACTCCAGTCCACACTTGACTTGAGCACTGTACAAGTCAACCTTAAAAAATATGTATTTAAAATAAATATCCACTTTAAACAAATTACTAAAATAACTACTACACTATGTAATCAAATCCAAATGTTCAAGTATAAATGGCATTGAATAAGTAAACAAATCAATGACAAGGAACTAATTGTATATTTCTCTTCATCATCAACAAATAAGATGCTTCATCCAGCAACAGGGTGTCTGTGACACGGTTTAAATGCTGGCAGAGGACGCTGCGGCTGCAGTATATAGTGACTCGTTGCATTCTCCCTCAGCCAAAAGTCCTCGCGTCATGCATTTAAGCTAAAATGCTCATGTTGACTTACCTTGCACTGGCTGTAGAGACGTGGGTGATGGTCACGCAGATGTGCCATGAGATTTGAAGTGTTGCTGCCTTTTGCAGACACTTGTTTCCTGCACGTTCTGCAGACGGGATAGCAGTCTTCTATTAACTGTCCCTCAGCATTTTTCAGAAATCCAAAATATGCCCATACTTCCGATTTAGTCTTCTTTGAGGGCTGATGGATGTCCTGGGCGCTGCCGTCGCCTCCTTCGGCCATTATTTCAGCTTCAAAGTTTTGGTGCCGTTGCAAACTAAAAAGTGCGTGTGCGCGCCGCGGGAACTTCAGCTGAAGCGACGGTGGCTGGTAAGGGTCACCGCGCTGAAACCGCGGCCACGGTAAACCCACCGAGATAATATAGTTTTTTTAAAAACTGGACGGTTATTTTTATTGTCAACTTTTTTACCGGGGTTTACCGCTATACCGGTTACCGTGACAACCCTACTGTTACCGCTCTGTTACCATGGTGATGTAGAGTCCAATCTCTTTTACCTTGGTGATGTAGAGTCCAGTCTCTGTTACCATGGGTGATGTAGAGTCCAGTCTCTGTTACCATGGGTGATGTAGAGTCCAGTCTCTGTTACCATGGTGATGTAGAGTCCAGTCTCTGTTACCATGGTGATGTAGAGTCCAATCTCTTTTACCCTGGTGATGTAGAGTCCAGTCTCTGTTACCACGGTGATGTAGTGTCCAGTCTCTGTTACCACGGTGATGCAGAGTCCAGTCTCTGTTACCATGGTGATGCAGAGTCCAGTCTCTTGTTACCATGGTGATGTAGAGTCCAGTCTCTGTTACCATGGTGATGTAGAGTCCAATCTCTTTTACCATGGTGATGTAGAGTCCAGTCTCTGTTACCATGGTGATGTAGAGTCCAGTCTCTGTTACCACGGTGATGTAGTGTCCAGTCTCTGTTACCACGGTGATGCAGAGTCCAGTCTCTGTTACCATGGTGATGCAGAGTCCAGTCTCTGTTACCACGGTGATGTAGAGTCCAGTCTCTGTTACCATGGGTGATGTAGAGTCCAGTCTCTGTTACCATGGGTGATGTAGAGTCCAGTCTCTGTTACCATGGTGATGTAGAGTCCAGTCTCTGTTACCATGGTGATGTAGAGTCCAATCTCTTTTACCCTGGTGATGTAGAGTCCAGTCTCTGTTACCACGGTGATGTAGTGTCCAGTCTCTGTTACCACGGTGATGCAGAGTCCAGTCTCTGTTACCATGGTGATGCAGAGTCCAGTCTCTTGTTACCATGGTGATGTAGAGTCCAGTCTCTGTTACCATGGTGATGTAGAGTCCAATCTCTTTTACCATGGTGATGTAGAGTCCAGTCTCTGTTACCACGGTGATGTAGTGTCCAGTCTCTGTTACCACGGTGATGCAGAGTCCAGTCTCTGTTACCATGGTGATGCAGAGTCCAGTCTCTTGTTACCATGGTGATGCAGAGTCCAGTCTCTTGTTACCATGGTGATGTAGAGTCCAGTTTCTTGTTACCATGGTGATGTAGAGTCAAGTCTCTAGGTTCTTCTGTGAGTCTGTAGTTCTTTATTTGTCCAGCAGGTGGCCTCACAGCTTTCAGCAGAAATGTGGTTTCAGAAAAGCTGCTAAAAAACCAGACTCTAAAAAGATGGAGGATTGTGGCCCCGCCCACACAGAGTCTGTTGAGGCCGCTGTCCAGCGCCGGACCTCCATCCCTAACTGTGACCGACAGCCTCCCCCCGACTCCCAGCCAGCCTTCGGCCAGCTAATCAGACCTTTCCTTTTCACCGTGGGGGTAGGTGACGTTCTCCTGCTGAAGATGATGATGTCACAGACAGGTGTTAACTCCATGTCAGTTTACAGGGTGCTCCTTTGGCTCGGCAGCCATCTGGCAGTACGAGTCGCTCAAGTCTCGAGTCCAGAGCTACTTTAATGAGATCCGAGCCGATTGGCTGGAGAAAGTGAGACCTCAGAAACGAGGGGACATCCGTAAAGAGGTGATCATTTCCAACTCTCACGCTTTAATAAAAAACCCAATCCTGACACCCAGAAGACGATCACAGGGAAGGTGATGATTGGTTGTTTGTGTTTCAGATAAACCTATGGTGGAACAGCTTGTCAGAGGGCCAGAAAACGGTGACAGGTGAGTGAGTCAGCAGGTGTGTTCCAGGGTCAGAGTTGGTCCGAACTATTTCATCACCCAGAATATACCCAGACTGGTTTGACTGGCAGCTCGCTGAGCCAATGGGAACTCTGATGTTGATCTGTTTGGTCTTAGCTCCAGAGTTGGACCGGGAGTGTTTGTCACATCCAGAACCTGACCCAATATCAAAGTTATCCCTCTTCATTTCCCAGGAATCATTGCTGCTAACGCCGTGGTGTTCTGCTGCTGGAGGGTTCCTCCTCTGCAACGCTTCATGCTCCGGTACTTCACCTCCAACCCCGCCTCCAGTGAGTGTTTCTGACCAGAACCAGAGACAGGATGAGCGTTATACGGGCCCTGTGTCCTCTCTCTGACCATCCCTCATGTCCTCTCTCTCCCTACAGAGACTCGCTGCTTGCCGATGCTCCTTTCCACCTTCAGCCACGTTTCTCTCTTCCACCTGGCTGCTAACATGTACGTCCTGTGGAGCTTCTCCAGCAGCGCTGTCTCCATGTTGGGGCGAGAGCAGTTCATGGCCGTCTACCTGTCTGCAGGTGCTGATCATCAGAGACACGTGTAAATGTCCTGTAGAGCGTACGAAGTGAGACGTTTCTTCTGTGTCCAGGTGTGGTTTCTACGTTTGTCAGCTATGTTTGTAAGATGTCCATGGGGAGGTTTGGCCCTTCACTGGGAGCGGTAAGAACCTCCGTCCTGTGACCCAGGCAGGTCCTGGTTCAGGTCTTTGATGGATTGTCTCAGCACCAGAACCTTTTCTTGGTTCTTTCGGACCTCAGAACTCCTTACAGCGTGTTTGTGTTTCAGTCGGGAGCCATCATGACCGTCCTTGCTGCCGTTTGCGCCAAAATCCCCGAAGCTAAGCTAGCCATCATCTTCCTGCCGATGTTCACCTTCACTGCTGCTAACGTAAGACGCCAACCACCTCCTCAGCTGTTTGATTTACCTTCCATCAGCTCCACCATCTCTATCTGCTTGTGACTGCAGGCTCTGAAGGCCATCGTTGCCATGGATACTGCAGGTTTGCTGCTGGGATGGAGGTTTTTTGACCACGCTGCTCATTTAGGAGGAGCCATGTTTGGAATGTGAGTCTGGGCTGTTGTTGGGGGGCGGGGCGTGCTGCAGGATCTAACCAGATCTGTTTCCCGTTTCCTCAGCTGGTACGTTTGGTTCGGTCACGAGCTTATCTGGATGAACCGGGAACCTTTTGTCAAAGTTTGGCACGACTTGAGGACTCGAGGAGGCGGGAACCGTGGAGGCTCCGTGTAGGACACGGGAACCTGGACTGTGGGGGTGGAGCTGTAACTTGTATAGATGTATAAAGTGTACAGGATTCCTGCTTCAGCCAGCTTCTGCGAATCAAACGGGAAGTGTGGAATTTCAGGGGTGATGAGGTTTTATTTATAAGATACTGAACCGGTTATCTTCATATTTAGATTTTCATAAAAACAAAAAGTAAAGATCCTTAAAAACTAAATTTTTTGTGTTTTAATCAAACCGAAAATTCTGAGGAGACCAAAAGTTTATTGTAAACCAAGAATGGTGGAATTTTCTGGATTTAACCAGTTTCACAAATAAAAAACATTTCTGAGATAAACATTTGGAATCTTTTCTGTGGAATAAGAATGTTTCAGACATTCCTGCTGTCTTCTTTAGTGGTTCCACCGGGATCTAAACATCATCACTGGATATCAGAACACCTCTCTGAGGTCCTGCACCAGAACGGTTCTAGGGCCTGGTGTGGGTCACAGAGCCAGAGGGCCCAGAGTGACCCAGATGCAGGGTATCTGCAGGTTCTTAAAAAAGTCTTAAATTTGCTTTTCCAAATGTAAGGCCTTAAAAATGACAAATAATCCTTAAATACAGTTTCCAAAAGTCTTAAATTACCAAAGACCCAACAAACAAGATTCTTTTATTTCTATAAAATTTTTGTGAATTTCTAGTTAGCGTTCAGCATTTTTTGTGTACGATATTGGCGTAAGCGGAACCGTACACGTTCGGTTGGTTGTGAAAGGGGGCTATTTATAGATGAGCACGTTAAGCTAGTGGGAGCTTGCGCCATGGGGAAGTGCAACATTAATGGTAACTGGATGGCTAATCCCACGTTCACGACGTGGTTAGCACCGGTTCCAGGCAATAGCTGGAGATTATAGCTTAAATTTAATAAAATAAAAGCTTAAATTTGGTCCAAGTGGTCTTAAAAAGTCTTAAATTTGGCTCCCTTAAACCTGCAGATCTCTGAGATGTTCCACACAGGCCTAGTCCCAATGATGCTTCCAGTCAGGAATCCTGACAGTCCCAGACATCTGAGCTCTGTGGTTCTGTTTGTGTCAGACTTTTGGTGCTGAAGGACCAATCAGATGACAGCAAACATGGACCGGGTCTGAAGTCCACCCGTCACACGGGTTTCAGGACCAACCACAAACAGTCCCACTAGAACGTTCTGGTTTACCCGCCTCTGGACTCCTGAACATCGATACTGACCCGTGGTTCAGGAGGCAGTTCATCGACCTCAGACTTCCACTGGTCTCAGATCAGAACCGGTTCTCACTGAGACGCTTCACCTACGGATCCGGGAACCCAGAACCAGCAGAATTCCCTGGATCTCAGCAGGAGGTAAGAACCGGTTACTGGATCTCTGAGGACTTGAGTGGGAACTGAACAGAACCTTCAGAAGAATGGTTCCACTGAGAAGTTTGGTTTCGATGGACTCCAGATAGTTCATGGCGCTGATGATCCAGGATCAGGTTTGGTCCATGTGGAGCTCAGATGTTCTAAAGTTCTGTTCGGTAGGCCCTGAAATGTGAAAAGGGACAGAAGGATCATGAGACCTCTGCTGGACACAGCAGGATCCGCTGGTTCTGGTTTTACTGTCTAAACGTTTCCTAAGAGGAACCACGCTAGAACCTCCACAAGAGACGGGCCAAGGAGGTCCTGGAAATGGGGTTTTTGTGGGTTTTAGTCTGAGGCAGTCCCATCGGACTAATGAGTCTGAGGTAAGCCAGGTTACCTTATGAAAACTAATTAGACATCATTAGTAGTGATGCACCGATATGACATTTTTGGGCCGATACCGATATTAAGATCACTGTTATGGCTGATAACCGATATTTGCTGATACCGATATTCTCACATTAAAGCTTCTAAAATCAGCAATTTTGTATAAAATGAAAACGATTAAAGCCGACTTTATATTACCGTACACACAAACACGCTTCTGAGATGGTTACATTCACTGTGACACGACTAAACAATTACACATCACCCCCCTTGCCCTCTGAAACAGGCAAACAAATGGAGACAAGATGGAAAAAATATCGGTTGTTAATATCGGCCCGGGGCTGCGCAGTGGCGTCCTGGGTTCGCTTCCCGGCCTGGGATCTTTCTGCATGGAGTTTGCATGTTCTCCCTGTGCATGCGTGGGTTCTCTCCGGGTCCTCCGGCTTCCTCCCACAGTCCAAAAACACGACTGTTAGGTTGATTGGTCTGTCTAAATTGTCCTTAGGTGTGTGTGTCTCTGTGTTGTCCTGTGTGTCTCTGTGTTGTCCTGCGATGGACTGGCTCTCTGTCCAGGGTGTACCCCGTCTGATTGCCCGTTGACTGCTGGAGATAGGCACCAGCCCCCCCCCCCCCCCCCCCCCCCCGCGACCCGACATGGACAAAGCGGGTTCAAAAAATGGATGGATGGATGGAATATCGGCCCGGTTTTATTTGTCGGACCGATACCGATATGTAAAAAAAAAATCACTTCATTGGCCGATACCGATATTGATGACGATTTCTTTTCCATCCCTATTAATTAGGTTCGTATCGGATCAAAAAACCTGGTCCGGAGCTAGTTTCAGATACTAGAAAAAGGTGGCTGAACGCTTTGTTAAACTGCTTTGTTCAGGTCCAGTTCTGGTAGCAGAACTAGACCAGAAAACAAGCTTTTGCTCCCAAACAAAAACTAAAGAGAACTAAGGAGCATACCCTGAGGAACGCCTGAGTCACGGCTGCTGCTGGAGGAACCTCTGTGTTTGCAGGTGTGAGAACTTCACAGTCAAGATGGCGGTTGTCCTCCAGGTCGGGGGTCTGGTTCTGGGCCTGGTCCTCCTGGTGCCTCCAGTCCAGCTGCACTTCCTCGCATACGTGGAAGGTGAAGAGTCAGGCAGAAAACAGTCACCACCAGTTCGTGGCAGTTCGAGGGCCTGTGGATGAGCTGCGCCGCTACCTCCATGGGGTCTGTCCAGTGCAGCAGGTTCAAGACGTTCCTGGGACTTCCAGGTGGATACTGGGAGAGGTCAAGGGGGGGGGGGGGGGGGGGGGGGGGGTAAAAGACCAAGGGTAACCCCAGATTTCTGGATGTCTGTGTGCAGCTCACCTGCAGGTCTGCAGAGGTCTGATGATCGCATCGCTCCTGCTGGGTCCTGGCCTCCATCGTGGTCTCAGTGCTCGGACTCAAGTTGCACGAAGATCGGAGGAGCATCCGAGCAGGTCAAAGGTCAGATGGTCCCTGAGCGGAGGAATCATGTTCATCCTGTCAGGTACGTTCCTCTCAGAGAGGAGGTCTAAATGGAACTCCAGAGATCAAAGCAGGTCCACAGGAAGTCCGAGAAGAATGGGGAGGGTCAGGGTAGATGTGACCTTTAGGTCAGGATCTGGATCTTCCTCATGAAAAATGCAAAGTGAAACATCCCGTTCCTGTGAACCATCATCCAGACAGAACTGTAGTGATTTAGGCTGAGTTCTGAATCCCACTGGAAGAGAATCAGATTCTCTTTGGAACCACGCATCGGACCACTTCTCCTGTAACAACACAACAATCATCCTGCAGACACCTGGGTGTTTATGTAGACAGTGACCTCACGGTCGCCTCAGCTGCACGACGTTTAAAAGGAAGTCCAGCAGAGGGTTGATTTTTTGGGGGGACCTTCAGAACCACAGACGTCTCGGTGGTGCCATGTTGGAAATTCTGCTGTAAGGAAGCCCGGTTTGGCTGAGCAGCCCCTCTGGCCAGGTCAAGTTGAGAAAACTGAAAATCCTGAACGCCTGCTCCAAAGCAGTGGTTCAGTCTGTGGAGAGCTTTCCAACTCCAGAGTCCTCCAGACAGAAATGTTTCAGACCCTAGACCCTGACCCCACACCTTCAGTGATGCAATCAGAACATCGCACATGTGGGCCAGAACCACCGAGATGCTGATGAGTGTCGGCAAGAAGGCAGGAGTGATCTGTGAGAAAGGTCTCACTAAAGTTTGGAAACTTGGTAGCCGTGACAACAGAAGTCCTTGGATCAATCAATCAATACTTTATTAATCCCAGAGAGAAATTAGAGTTCCAGTACACACAATTCAGAGATCAGACATACATGGGCAAGTCACATGACAAGAATTGGTGACTGTGGTCATTCGCAACCCTGAGTCGCGCTACCTTAATAGAGATCAGAGGGTTACATGAGGATTGGTTCAGGTGGAGGGAAAAAAAGGCACCTTCAGAGTTACCCTCCAGCAGGAGGGCAGCTTTGTTCTGCAAAAAAACACCTGAAACGTATATGCAACAGACTTCAGACATCACAACATGAGACTCCAATAGGAAGGCAGGGGGGAGGGGGGGGGAAGGGGGCTGGGATCCTGGTTCCCCCAGTGAGAGCAGCCATCTACGGCGCTCAGCCACTGTACAGTCACAGGTGGGAGGGAGATCTTGGGAGAGGCACAGAGCACATTGACTCCTGCAGATTGATGACCTCAGGTCGGGTTTTCATCTGTCTGCATTCCTTTGTGGGGGGTTGTTGCTTGCAGCTCAAGGCTACCATGGCGTCAGATTCAGATAACAAGAAGTTGTTTGGGTCAGGCTGAGATAATTTTCCTCTCTGCCTTCAGTCTTTAAACTGATCATTCCAGTCCTTCAGTGAAGCTAACTTTGGGTTTTTAAACTTGTCCATACCGTCCGGTGAGTCTCTCCGAGATGACATCCATTTTGCGCACTAATACCGGCATCGCAGCTAGAACATTGTCCAGCTTACGATTCACCTCGAGTAACGTCCCAGTCTGTGAGGTCTCCACACGGACGGTGCTTTCCGTGGGTGCGGGTCGCCCTCCAATCGCTCCCGTCTTCCCAAATTTCCAGAAAACCAGATATCCTCCCACTCCAATCAGGAGAAATCCAGTGATCATCAGGCCGAATATCCACACGTCTTCGATGCAATGTACAGCTGGCTGAGGCATATGATCTTCCATTCCCTCCAGGAATCCAGCATATACCCCACCAGGTGTGTCCCCTGTGGACATGTGGGAGCCTCCTGCTCCGTTCTCATTGTTGAAAAAATCTTATCGATCGCATTGAATGACCAGTTTATCAAATCCGTGGTTAAAAATAGAGTTTTTCAGAAGAAATGCAGAGAAGCGCTCTGTGGGCAGACAGGACAAAGAGCCTTGGGAAAAAAAGATAAGGGAGCGAAAGAGAGAAGCGTCTGTACTCCTCGAGGCGTGGAGAGAAATAGTTGAACATCTCACAGAACAGAACTTTCCTCTGAACATGCTGTGGTACCAGAACCACTTTCAAGAACAACAGACATATCTGGCCAGGATCAAGAGACTGTAGATGTTTGTCCTCCTCCAGGTGTCTTCACGCTGTCCGCTGTCTCGTGGTTCGCTGCCGGAGTCATCCAGGACTTCTACAACCCACTCTATGCTGGAGTTCGGTCAGTGTGTGTGTGTGTGTGTGTGTTTCCTGCTGCTGCTGCTGACCCCTTTGTTTGTGTTTTGCAGGTTTGAGCTTGGTTCTGGTCTATATCTGGGCTGGGCCTCCTCCTGCCTGGCTCTCCTTGGAGGATCTCTGCTCTGCTGCTCCTGCAGGAGGACCCCCTCCACCCCCCCTGCTTGGTAAAATTACAGTTTGGTCCACGGGGGTACTGGGAGTATCTGAACTGGTTCTGGTGATCCATAAGCGGCAGAACTTCAGGACTGGAGTTTATCCTTTCAGAGTCTTTAAACGATGTGGGGCATCTTATTGGCTGGACTTGTTCTGTTGCAGAGTGACAAGAGAAAGCACAACTTTAGGTCCAATAAAGTCAAAACCGAGGAAGCTCAGATAAGCAGAAGTTAAGCTAGACTGGAGGTGGATCTTCTAAAACACTCAATTCCACATCAGACCGTCTTGATTTCTGCTCTCCTGCAGGCAGTTTTCGTATCGCTCCCACGCGAGTCGAGGACAGAGCATCTACAAGGCGGCTGCGGCGCTGGACGGCAGTAGCAGCTCCAGAGCTTACGTCTGAACTCACCAACCCCTCTGATGGGATTCATTAGAGGTCCACTGATCTGCAGGAAACATCCAATCATCTGTGTGAGAGTGCAGTATTGGTGCTGTCCAGCAGGTGTCCTCACAGAGAAACGTCTCCAAGATGAGTCACCCAAGCTTCTAGAAAATCATTTATTTATTACATAAAGTCACCAGATTTCTGTCATTTATCTGTTGAACAGCTCAGCTTTTACCACCGCTTCTAATGAGCGTTTCTGTAGTACCCCTTGTGGACAGCAGGTGGCAGCAGACCATAATGAGTGATTCTCTCCTAGGCTGCATTTCACCCACAGACCACTAATCTCCGTGCATGTTGTTGGATTTAAGTTCAATATTTACCTGAAATAATGAAAACTTCCTTTAGTTAAAGACTGTTTAGTTCCTGATCCTAAATCAGTTTGAATGAAGAACAGAAACTCAAGGAGTAAGAACCGGTGAGAAAGTTGTTTTTTTTCCCAGCTGATGTAAATAATAAACAGTTTTCAGTGGTGCTTTTCGGAATTTTTAATCAAAGGCTCCAGGATTCAAATGAAACGATCTAGAATGAAAAATAAAAGGTTCTTGGCTGGAAAGCAGGCCATGACTTCCGTCAGCTCATCAAACATCTGACACTGTCTCCTTCTGCTGGAAATGTGGCTGAAGCTACTGCTGTCTGTAACATCAACAAGGTAACCACCATCAGGGTCTCCACGGTGACCCTAACCCTCTAGGGTCTCCATGGTAACCACAATAACCATCATTAGTTCTTCTGGGTCTCCACAGAAACCACAATGGCTCATTAGGGTCTCCATGGTAACCACAGTGGCTCATTAGGGATTGTCATAGTTACCAAAACGAAATAAAATGTAATTTTTTGTGTAAAATAAAAATGAAAACATTTCTTCTGAGGGTTTCTGAACTTGTTCTTAGTTCTGACAGAAACACGATGACCTCATCACATCGAAACAGATCTGTTTATGAGATCTGAGATCGTTTGCTGTTATCAACAAACAGCTTTTTTTTTGGGGGGGGGGGGGGGGGGGGGGGTCAGTGGGTCCAAGGTTCCGGAATCTCTCATCACATTTTAATGGAGGGAAATTGAATCCAGCCTCCTCCCTGAAGGGCACACCGGCGCGCAACAGTTCCCCTCACACCGAGACGGGAACGTTCCTCGTAAGGATTGCCTCTTGTTCTCGTCCCGCTGGGGGAGTGCTGGATCAGGTTAACTCAGAAGACCTTCAGACCTTCTACTCTGCAAGGAGAGAAGATCAAGCCAGCTGGAAGCTTCTCCAGGTCGGCCAACTGTCCCTCTGAAAGCCACAAACATCTGTGCTACACAGATATTCATGTCGCAGACAAACGTGACTTGGTCCTGTAAACGTCTTCAATCAGCTGATCGGTTCAGAAACTTCAAAACAAAACAGATGATCTAAATTATTCCTATAGAGCAGGCGTGGGGAACCCCGGTCCTCGAGGGCCGGTGTCCTGCACATCTTTGCTCCAACGCCTCTGATGGTTGATTCACCTGTTCTGCAGCTCATCTGCTCTGCAGAAGCCTGCTGATTGAAATCAGGTGTGACGATGTAGGGATGGTAAATGGCCTGTATTTGATATAGCGCCTTCTAGAGTCCTGGAACCCCCCAAGGCACTTTACAACACAACCAGTCATTCACACATTCACACACTGGTGGGGATGAGCTACGATGTAGCCACAGCTGCCCTGGGCACACTGACAGAGGCGAGGCTGCCGAGCACGGGCGCCATCGGTCCCTCCGACCACCACCAGCAGGCAAGGTGGGTTAAGTGTCTTGCCCAAGGACACAACGACAGCGACAGACTGAGTGAGATTCGAACCTGCAACCTTCCGATTACGGGGCGAGCTCTTAACTCCTGTGCCACCGTCGCCCCGTCGTTGGTTGAAACCAAAATATGCTGGACAGCAGAACCTCGATGGACCAGGGTTCCTCACCCCTGATTAGGATTTTACAACCCCCCAAAGCACTTCACAACACAATCAGTCACACACCCATTCACTCACTGCTGGTGATGAGCTACACTGTAGCCACAGCTGCCCTGGAGGCGAGGCTGCTGCACACAGGCGCCGCCGGTCCCTCTGACCACCACCAGCTGCTGGGAGCCGGGATCAAACCAACAACCTTCCGATTACTGGACAACCCCTTCGACCTCCTGCTGCTGCCCAAAAATAAAAATGACTCATTTAGATCTTACAATCAAGCCTTCAATTCTAATTTTTCATATATTAGTTTGATTGCGTGTGTGTGTGTGTGTGTGTGTGCACGCGTGCGTGTGTGCATGCATGTGTGTGTTTGATAATAGGACAGGAAAAGGAAAACATGACCATTTCCTGCTGCAGCAAGAAAATAAAACAAACAGGAAACGAAGAGCAG